CAGGATTGGGTTGATCGTACCAGAGATAAAGTAAATGAATGCCTTGAAATTCCAAGCACTCTGCCAGAAGTTAACAATAAGTTGCAGACTGTAAAAGCAATTAGACAGTCTCTTGAGCAGGGACAGAACAAACTGAGGTATAGTGCATAATATTATAACTTTAATAAAGATTTTTGAACCTTGACTGAATAAACTTACACAATTATCTGATATTCCTATTGATAGTTATTTAACAACTAAAATTGTTATATTTACTCTTTCAGGTATGCATTGGAGTTGAAAGAGAAGGTGATATTGAACACTGAACAAAATGGAGCTGCCAAAATACAGGAAGATACAGAGAACTTAAAACAAGAGTTTGAAAAACTAATGATTGATGTTCAAGACCTGAGGCAAAAACTTACAAGTAGATCTGCACAGTTGGAAGAAATTCAGAAGGTAATGCAGTTTGTTTTCATTGCTTTATCTGCTGAACAGAATTTAGTTATCCAGATAAGAATATTTTGTCTTTTTATATTGTAATAAATAGCTTACTCTTTAGTAATATATTCCCATATAAAGATTTAATGAGTTGGATGTCCACTGTTGATTTCATTTAACATGGTGGCCGCTTATTATTAGGCGGATGTTTGTGAGTAAATTTCAAGACCAGAAAAATGCAGGATATATATGTTTTTTGTAGCCATTGACAGTTGATGTCTTAATAGTAGTTAGTTACTCTTAAATCCAACAAAAATAACAAAGCATAATTTACTAAGGAATGATGAACCTGTTGTTTCATAATACTAAATAGTTACATTTGAAACATATTTTTATATCAAATATGCATTGCTTCACAGGCTCACAAATTGCTCTCTGATTGGCTGAATGAGATTGAACAGAAAGTGCGATCAGATGAAGGAACTTTCCTTAATGATCTGAGTGAAAAGCGAGCAACTTTAGAAAAATTCCGCACATTGCAGCGAGATATCAACAGCCACAGCGAGATGGTGAATAGAGTGAAGAATCGACTTACAGATGATCCATCTTTGTCTGTCAAGGATTATGAGGATAGCATCAACAAATATCAGACACTCAAGGATTTGGTTGCCAAGAATATTGCTGTAAGTGGATTTATTGTACTCTTGTTATTGCAGGTGTTGCATATCCAGTGATGCCATGATATTCAACTTTGTTCCAGTCAGGTACAGGTACATGTGCAGGTTCATACTGCCAGAAGATCTAGTTAAAATAATGCCATAATGATCAGCTATTGTGACTATGTGGTTTCCTTCAGTTCCTTAAAGCAAATACTGTGTTAATATATTAAAATAGGTTGCAGCTGCTTAATCCCACAGCAGTCATTGTACATCATAATTATTCTGTATCTTCGGCAGTACGGAGAAGGCCTTGGTCAGTAACTGGTCATAGATAAAGTAAATGAATAAACCATACATTAATTTTGTAACTGTGGTCTTTAGGGTTATCACCAAGTAGTTTTGTAGGTGGTTATCTTTTTGGATTGTGACACAATCCAGAAGAGCATGGTCCATTTATTTGCATCTGTGAAAACCTCATGTCTCATTAATTTTGTTACATTATGTACATTATTTATAGTTTGAGTGGGAGAGGTTTAATTATAAATAAACAGTTCTTGTTCTTAAGTTTTCTTGGGTGTAGTGAAATATATGTTAGTATTGCAATTTAATGTTGTATGTTTCAGACATTGGAGGAACAAGTGAAAGAACATGAACAGTACAAACAAGGATATATTGATGCATTCGACTGGGTTCGAAAAACTCGAATTGACATTCAGCAGTGTAGTGATCCTCATGGAGAAAAAGAACATACGATTGAAAAAGAAAGGAAAATGAATGAAATAGCAGCAACTATGAATGATGGCAAGTTTTAGTAAAAATCATTACGCATTAACATTGAAAGATTTAAATCAATTCAGATAACTTGAGAGCAGAAGAGATTGACCTCTAAAATTGTGAAAAATAAAAATATTGAAGTGAAATGACTGACTACAATTTTAATCAGATTTTATTTAAATTTTGTAGGCAAGACCTAATTGAACTATGAAGTATATATCCACATTCTTTCAGCAGATTTTGATGAAATATGATATATGTCATTCTACTTTATGAATTTTACTGTGTGCTAGTTTTGTTCACTTAACTTTTAGGGACTACTTGAATGCTTACATATATCTTCTTGAGTTTTATTTTTTGCAGATTTTGAAGATACTTAATATTCCGGACTTATGTTTTTGTTCTGTTATCAAGCATATGTTTAATTTTCTTCATTTTATCTTGATAGATGATAGACAAAAATGTATATCTAACCAAAATAGAAATTTTAAATTTTAAAATACAGTAACATAGAAATTTGTTAATAGAATGTGAGATTTAAGGTTCTCACAGTAGATATTAATGATAATCCTTTGGGCTTACATATGAGTACCAACATTTTGGAGATGGAGACAGTATGTTCCTCTAAAATTCTGGTATCCACCTACAAGTCCACATAACGTCACAACTAGAATATGACATCTACATTAACTGAACTTCTTTAAAATGAGGAGTTTGTATAATTATCACTGCATTTTATAAACACTGATGATAATTATGATTTGTACTTACCAGGTGAGAAGTTGGTGGAAAAAGCAATTGCTTTGAGTAACACTGTCATGAAGACGACTGGAACTGAAGGCCAGGACACATTGAAGCAGGAAATCCAACAACTTAAAGCTGATTGGGAGGGTCTGAGAATTATCTGCAAGGACTCGCAGAAAGTTCTGTCGAAGTGCATCGTATCTTGGAACGATTTTGCAGACACCTTTGACAAGATGAAGACTTGGCTTGTTGATTTCCAGAAGAAGGTAGATGCTGAAGTTGATGGAGACAAGAAGACTCCTGAAGATCTGCAAAGGTGCAGGGTAAGTTATGAGTCTAATCAGGATATATTATGACAGTAAAATGTTAATGTTATTTAAGTTAAAATAATATTATTCCAAGCAGTTAATCTAATTAAATAATACATAAACCTTCCCCTCCCCCTTATTCACCCTTATATGTGGTTCTGTGCATGTGACAGTCAGTGTAATGCAAATGTGAGGCTTTTTTGAAAATATTCTCACTTGGTTTTAGATAATTCTCCAAGAAGCTGTGCAGCAGAAGATTGTTATGGAAGAGCTTAATGACCGCTGTGAAGTCTTAATGGAACTGAGTGCCTGCAGCTGGGTCAGAGACAATGCAGTACAACTCCAGGGAGCATACACAAACTTGCTCACCACAGTCCAGGTATGTGCCTGTCAGTGCTGGAGATTTTTGTGACAATTCTTGTCAATTTAATGTTCAGATGCTAATTGAGCATGAAACAATTTTATGATTTTAGTGGTTTAATTATAAGGTTGATAGAAACTAGAACAGAATTTAACTATTTATTCTTTCTGACATTTTCTATAAAAGTGAGGAATTTTAGTTTTTAGTGTTATATTCAGGTTACTTGAATTTGGTCATAACACTCTGAAATAATAGGCTGTATGAGGTGATAATTACAAAGAATAAAATTACTTAAACCTGTGTATGTCAGGTGTACTGTTGAATTTTGATAAACATTTTGGTAGTCATATTAATGTCTTAATACTGCAGAACTTCTTTGTAACTGTGTGCAGTAGTTTAATGTTTAATCATGTAGCAAAGCCTGTAAGAGGCCCTTAATTTTAGTTTAGTATTACCAGGGTCTTTATATGTATACTTTAGACCATAAATAGTATAAGTTGTCAATTTAGTATACATCTGTGTATTTTCTGATCCTTTATTAAAGATGTCAGATGCTGTACTATCGGTACTTCACACAAGCTAGACATTAAAATTCATAACAATGAAAGTAGTATTAACTCTGTCTTATGTTTCTAGGGTCTTGTTTCTCGAGTGGAGAAAAATTTGTCAGACCACACTGAGTTTATAAAAGCAAAGGAAGAATTTGATACTTGGTTGAAGCGAGCTCATGGCACTGTACAAGACTGCATTGGAGTTGGAGATGAAGCTTCCACAAGAGACAAATTGGAAACCATTCGGGTCTGTATTAAAAAACTTTTGCCACTTCTGCATTACTGTTCCCATAGAGGCTGAAAGTTTTATATGTACTGTAATTCTATCATTTAATATGTTTTATTGTCTATGTTGTTATCTAGTTTGAACTATAAAAAGAATGATTGAAAATTTTACTATATGAGTCTGTACTGTATAAATTGTTAACATATCTTGCTGCATGTCATCTTCATATATAAATCGCTCATATGTGTGTGCTATGTGGTTAGAGAGCAACAGTTATAATTTTCAGCATAAGAATATTCTAATTTATTTTAATACAGTTTCTGTCTGCATATAAACTTGAGAACATTATGTGTACTGATTTTGTATATATTCCTAGGGCAGACAAAAACAGTATTTTCACCTTATATACTGAAAAAATCATCACCTTATTTTCTGTAAAAGAAAAAGGGTATAATATTTCATTGCTGGTTTTATGTTACATGTTTTGAATTAATAAGTATTCTTGAATGGTAGTTATTATTATTATTCTCTTTCAAGTTGTGTTAAATTTATAAACATTTTACAAAATAAGTCTTATGAACACAACTTTCCATCCCTTATTTTTAGTTGGTGTCTACCCGCATGACTGAAGGTCAACATCTAATGTCAGTAATGCAGGACGTTTTCACAAAAGCCATTAACACAACTCCAACAGATCAACAGGACACATTACGTGAAGATATGACATATCTGCGAAACAGTTGGGAGCAGCTGAATATTGACCTCACTTCAGTTATGGCGCAATTAAAGGTATGCATTTTCACTGTAAACCCATTGCAAAGAAATAGAGGCGGTCCCATAAAAGAGACAGAAAGACCAATTCTTGAATGAATGTTGCTGGAACATGTTTTATCAACATGAAATATAGTTAGTTCAAGTAGAAGATGAAGTCTCATTGGCCATTTTATGGGACAATTCCTCATCCAGTTAATTACAAATAGTGTACTTTACCACTGTAAATGGAGGAATAAATGAATTTGATTTTTTAAAGTGTTCACCTGACCAGAAAATATGTTAATTTGTACACTTCAGAAATGTAAATGTGTAACATTGCATTCATTTCTGTATAATCAAGAATGATTCTCTTTAATAAGAATAATATTAACAATAATAGTAAATTAGTTACTTCAAGATCAATAGATTAGTGTTAAATATATTAAAATCTATAGAATATTAGAGACTAACCAGAGCCCTGTGGGTGTAATTTGTTTCTTAATTCTAGGCTGCAGTGAGCCGATGGGAAGATTACAGTGATTCAAAATATAGGCTGGAAAACTGGATTTCAGAAATAGAAGCAGCTATTATAGAGACCCCTGACACTAAGGCAGAACTTGGAGAAATGAAGACACTTATTGAAAGATGCAAGGTAAAACAATAGTTTTCCAATAACTTTTTTCTGAAGGAAGTAAATGTATGTTTATATGATGTGTCCATATTTCAGTATGAGAATATATTCCATTCTCCTGAATTTATGCTACTCAGATTTGGTCATACTGAAGTGACTATCAAAATCAATTTACCAGTTACTGGTAATTCCTGAAGTGAGGTATGGACTTCTGACTCCTCTTGTCAGATCATCTGTATCCCCCTCTTATTTTACTGTAGAATTATTTTAACAATAATTTATCTCTTAGCACATCCAAAATGAAGTGACAGCCAAACGAGTGGACCTGGATCATTTGCTGTCAGAATCTAGTGAATTATCAGTTTGGGCTAGTAGACCTGCAGTTCTAGAAGAAATTCAGAGACTACAGACAAGATGGGATCAACTTGCCAGTAGCATTGCTTCACGCAGAGAAGATCTAGAAGTTGAAATGAAGGTTCGTATGTACCTTCTACAAACAGTAGTATTAAATTACTACGATGTTAACTGTCAAGGTATAAGATTCACGCAAGCATAAGTAAAGTAAAGTTTGTCCCACTATACGCCATGTAGGCGTTTGGGGTGAGAGGAGGTATAGCTCCTCTCTTCCTTGACCCCGGCACTAGATGGGGGTGAGTGGTCAGCATCACGCCCCGGCCGGCTTTACCCCCGGGAAAGGACCCCCGGTACCCATTGTAGAGGAGGCTGGGTGGGCCCCAGAGCTGGTCTGGACGCAGAGGCTAGAGGAAAAATCCTCTGCCCCCGTCGGGGATCGAACCCCGGTCGTCCAGCCCGTAGCTAGTCACTATACTGACTGAGCTAAGCATATTAGATTAAATTAAAATTACACAGCTGCATAATTAAATTTTACAGTTCTTATGCATTTTATTTAATGTCACAGGAATATACATCATATCACCAGTCACTCCAAGACACTGAGAAATGGTTGCTTCAGATCTCCTTTCAACTAATGGCCCATAATTCTCTGTATATTACAAACAGAGAGCAGACACAAGAGCAAATATCTCAGCATGAGGTATGTTTAGTTTATTTCTGCTTTCTTGCTACAATAAACCTGCTCATCGCAGTTGGTGCAGTTTTGGATTGTGGAATTTTGACTATTGTTTTTTGTTTTAGGGGACTGATGTGTTTATGAAAAATCTGTTTCTTAGGCTGTATTTCATGAAAAAGAATTTTCAAAAGATAGTTTCATTCTTGTTAAAGTTTTGCCTGCATTTATATACATCATCAAGAGATTCCTGTCATAGTTCATTAAAACATATTTTATATGAGAGTGTGGATTTTTTTGACACATTTGTGTAAGCCACAGACTTCACATTCAAACTTTGTACAAATAAATTGTGCATTGAAATTCCCCATTACAAGGCTTTTTGTTTTTTTAATTTGGTAAGGGCAAGAACTCATATAATATGAATTCTTATTAATTCTGTGAGAGTGCATGTTCAGAACTGGAAGTTGCAAAAATATGGATATGTTGTTTACTGGGACAGCTAATTTAAAATTTACTGTAGTTCTCATAGTCTGACGATATAATAACACATAAAATAGCTGTTGTGCTAATCTTAGAGCCATAATTCTGTAGAAAATCTGCCGTGCCAGACTCTTAAGCTTCCTAGCCCTTCACTGCTATTCACTGTAGTTCTATTTTACATTTTCAGGCGCTCCTAGGAGATATTCAGAAATACCAAGCTACTTTGGATGATGTGAAAGCTAAAGGTCATGGCCAAATTGAGAGATACGTTGGAACAACACCATCAGTACAAGAGACAATAGAGAAACAGCTGCGCAATGTTCAGGATAGTTACAACTCTCTCCTTCATACTGCTTTACAGATCAAGGTATTAAATTCAGCAAGTTTGTTTTTGGATATGGCATATCTATGTAATTTCTTGGTAGTTTTATTGTAATTTTGTCTTTTGTACTGGCTTATAAACAGTCAAGAACCTTCCAGCATTGCCTCTTTATGCAAATTGGTATGAAATGCATGAAAAGCATTCACATGTAAGAAATTATTTTATATATTGAATATAAAAATTGCCGTAGTGAAAAGTCGGAGTGTGGATAAATATCAGATATTCATAGTATTATCAGCATGAATATTGTCAACAATTTCTTGTTTCAGAATCGACTGCTGGAGTCTTTGTCCAAATTCCAGGAATATGAAGATACTCTGGAAAGTATAATGAAAAATCTTGATGCCTTTGAACCAGTTATCAATGAAGAAGTTGAATCTCCATTAAACCTCAAAGTGGCACAACAGCAGCTTGAAACTGCCAGGGTAAAACCATTAATAAATGTAATTTGGTATGAGTTATTGGAATTGACTGCTGCCATTACATGTACTCTGTGTTGTATTACAGTCTAACATGAAGTTCATTACTTTCACTTTGCACTTGTATGGCAAACAGTAAATCAGAACTAGAAGAAATAATTGAAATTAATCTAACAAACTATCATATCCATTCTCTCAATGACCTGTTCAATACTAACTGTATGTAGTTTACCGAAAATGGTTGAATGTGAAGTAAACAAAAGACCAATTGTAAAGTCTGGAAGCAGCTATCTCACTTTTGTGTAACTTTCTCATGTGATTTTAACTTATAAGTTCCCTTGAAATGTGCATAACTTGAAAAACCTGAAAACTTTTGATTATTATAATTATTGTCACTGAATAAATCCAAGGAAGAAGCTGAAAAAAAAGAGAGCCAGTTAAGAGTTGTAAGTTAATGAAGATCCACAGCATTTCATGGACCAGACTTGTACTAGCAACAGTGATGAGATGAGAATGTTTGTTTTATAGAGTCTGCACAACAAGCTCCAAGCTGAAAAGTCTCGCCTTGCTGTGGCTGTACAGGCTTGTGAAGCTGCTGCTGCCTGTATTTCTCGACCCAGCAGTCCACAGGACACTATACCACCCCCCATCCCTGACAGAGAGCTGGTAGTAAGAGCAAGATTAGAAGATTTGATAGACCAGGTAGCGTTACAAGTATCCAGATTTTGCTTTACCATTTTGGTGTCTACTTATAATTACTGATGCTTCCTGTTGGGTTCAGTGTGAAAGAATCCTGTGCAATATATTAGAAAATGACGGGAAGAGACTGAGCACTTCCGAGCACATTAGAAATGTTTATGTTTAGCAGTTAAATTGATGTTTCACATAACCATAACTTATGATCTTGATCACATACAACGTATATGCCCTTTGTATTCGTATGTACATATTTTTCTTTACATTCTTCAGCTGGTATGTACTCTTTCTTTTCCTGTCATGGAGTTTTACTTGATTGTGATGCACGTCTAAATAATTACTAATTAAAAATCAATGGAAGAACTTGTAATATGGTCCTTGCCTAAGAATTAATGGTTTGACTATTTCTTTTTTGAGTGTTGCTGTTCAGTTGACATTAAACTTATTAACATGGATCGTTGCTTGCTTTATCGTATTGTAATATATAGGTTAAAATACAGAATAGCAGAACACACTATTTTTTTGTTGCCGTAAATTTGTTTAGTGATGAGTTTGACAGCATAATTGTAATATTTGTGGAGATTTGGTAGTAGTAGTAACTTATGGCTCTGGAAATATACTGTTGAATTTTAACCTTGCTGTTGCATTAGACTCACTCGCTGTAAACACATTGAATGATTTTCTGGAAAATAAGTGAATCTTAAAAGACTCTTAGCATCTGTACAGTGTCAATGAAGCAGTAATACCAGTATCTAAAATGTAGGAAATTAGTGTAATTATTTTTCTCTCTGCCATGATATCCAGAATGGTTTCCAGTGTAGCTGAAGTAAAAGTGATATTTCATTCTTAGTTTATTTAATGATGCTATTTCAACTGCAGAGTAACTTCACTTAAAGTGATGAAATTACTTAATTGACTAGATGGCATGTGATGGTAGCCATATGATAGTAGAAATTGTATTTTCTGCCTGAATTTTCATTTTATAGCAACATGATAATACAACTATAATATCAGCTTTCATATCTCTTAAGAAATTTGTTAAAAATATTAACACATTAGAATTGCTTTGTTATTATAATGAAACCTTTTTGAAAATAAAATTTGCAGCAATTTAAAGAAAAAGATTAATTTTATCTCTCAGATGTAGCAGAGACTTTTCAGATTCACTAACCAAATCCTTCACTTTCCATTATGATGCATGAAATATGTGTTATGCCTGTAAATATTAGCATGTTTTGTATGTTACTTGTGTAGCAACTTAGTGACAGAGCAAAAGAGGAATCAAGAGGCAATGACAAACTGCAGCTTCTTCTCAAGAATTTGGAATCACAAGGTTTCCTTAGAAAGTTGAACAGTATGACTGATAAGGTAAGATTAAGTACTCAGTGGTCAGAATATTATGACATGCTTAGTTCCTTATAAAATCATGCATGTGACTTAGAACCAGTGGTTGAAGAAATCATGATCTTATTTTACAAATTGTTACATAAAGAAACCTGTAGATTCTAGTTTTATTCTATGTGTAAGAATTTCATTAACCTGCGCATCTTGATCCCTTACTTCTCTTCTGCTTTGTATCTTATCTGGTAGCAAATCAATATGTCACCACTTCTTCAAAATGAACCCAATAACAGAAAAGCTCACAGCTTTGATGGCATATAATTCAGTACATAATTAAACGATGTAAGAATTATTTTTAACAGAAACAAATTCTGCAAGTGTATTTGCCAGCATTTTAATCAGCAGGCTTACTATTTAACTCTAGAATGAAACTGAACAAATTAGACAATTATAATTTTGTTTTACATTATATTTTCAGGTTCAAAACCGTTTGTCAGGACTAACATCCACTGTGAGTGAAATGGAAGAAGGTGAACGGCAACGGGCATCATTACAGCAATGGGTCGCAGAGCAGAATGCTGTTGTAACAGACTGGCGATCCCGACCTGCTAAATTGCGTCCTGAGGCAGCCCGAGCAGAGCTGGTTAACATGCACGAGATGCTAGGAGCCATTGGAGAGCGAAGAGCTCTTCTCGTGTCTGAGTTGCCAGTTGCTGAAGAAACTGGACCAAAGTTAGAAGAACAACTGAGCAAGTTGGAGACTGAGGTATATGCCATTTGTTTAGGAAGCTACCAAAGCATTACAAAATGAAGGCTTGTGATTGTAATTATGCTAACCCTTTCATATATGGCATGTGATTGGCTTGTCACAAAAGTTGAAAAGGTTTTTGAATTCAATTTCAATAGGATGTTAAGAACTGATTATAAACAAAAGTCAAAGGTTTCGTAGTTGATTGAAAGAGTGATGAATCAGATCTGAAGTATTAATAATTGTTTAAAATAATTAATAGGAGTTCTACTATCCTTAGTTTTCCCCCACCTTCCATCCAGAGTGTGTCTTTAATATGCTGTAATGCAAGTGAATGTATAAATAGGAATTACTGTTTATTATTCTTCCAGCTGACACAAGTAATGGGAAAGAAACAAGCAGCACAAAGTATAATTGAGGAGTACAGAATTAATCTCCAAGATATTCATAGCTGGTTTGATTCCCTGATAAAACAAATGGAAGTTCTGGACAAAGGGAGTGGACTGGACTGTATTCATAAACTGGCTGTTATCTCTGAAATTGGCTCTGAGTTTGAGAGTCAAGGTCCAAGAAGAGTGGATGAAATCAAACGTTTGGCCAATGCCGTAATTGATGTTGTTAGTAATCTGGATTCTCAGCAAGTTGAGGAACAGGTAACTAAAGCATCAGTAGGTTTACGTAAACTAAGTCAAGGTGTCGTTCAGAACTAGATGTACTTTATTATAAGGCACTGAAAGTATTATATTTGGAGGGATGTGAAGTTTCAATGGTTGAAGATTTTTTTAAGAAGTGGCTATGGCTTGTTGAAGGTATTATTGAAAGACAGTATCTGTTACTTAAAAGTGTGACAAATTGTACACTTAACTTCATTTTCATGTTTTCAGTTGAAGTCAGTAGAAAGAAGATACAATGACATTGCAAAGAGAATCCAGCGTAAAGCACAGGTGTTGGAAATGACAAATAAAGGATTAGAAGGTGCTTGTCAAGAAATTGAACAAGCTAGAGAATGGATTCGAGAGAAACTGAAGCAATTGGAAACACAGCCACCAGTTGGGTTTGAGAGCAAAGTCGCAGATGACAAACTCCAATCTCTACGAGTAAGTTTTTACCTTAAATAACTAAAACACATTAATGTCCATATATGTAATACTTTATTTCCTAGTAAAATAGGATCTGGAATGAATATGTACATTGAACAGAGCATACTTCTGCTGCTGCTGGTTTTATTGCACTTGAACACTGACTGTCATTTCATGTGGTGCTTCTGGGCTGCCATCTGCCCTATCATTTTGTAACTGTAGAGGGCTCAAGCAGATTATCCCAGCATTTCAGTAGAGAAACCTGTAAGAAAGTATACCTTATATTTCAAGTGATTTTATTATACTTCTCTTCTATTCAATTTTTATTCCCTTTTTGTGACTTCGACTGAGAAGAATAATTCTTACATTGTGAACTTCAGGCTCTCCTGAAGGAAGCAGAAGGCAAACAGGTGTTGCTGGAGACACTGGAGAAGCGTGTGAACAACATGCAGACAGAACTTGAACCTAGTGAGCAGCAGCAACTGGAGAATGGGCTGAAGAGTCTGGCATCGGAACAGAGCGAACTTTGCTCGAAGTTAAGAAGTGAAATTGACCATGTGGGAGCAGGGGTTGAAGCCAGGAAGAAGTTTGAGGCTGATATGGAGGCAGTGCATGCATGGCTTAAGGCCAAAAACAGTGAGGCTAAGAAGTATGCTGGATACCTTCCTCTGAAAGCTGTGGCCGTGGAGAAGGAAATTCAGCAATATAAGGTATTGGAATAAGGACCTCTTCCATTCTGTTAAATCTTGCATAATAATTTGTGTTCTTGTTAAGAACAAGAAGAACTTGTTTTCATGAAGTAAAACTTTAGCAGACTGAATTTCTGACATTCAATCTTTAATTTGTGAATTTTTTTTTTTTTTGGGGGGGGGGATCAGATTTTTCTAGTTTTTCTAGGACTTCTAACTTTAGCCTCGACCCTTATCTGCAATTTAAACAATAAGTTGGCTTCTGGATGTGGATAACTTTGTAATCAGTGAGGTATATAACCTGCACCGTATCCAGACTGACGTTTGGTGTCAGTGTATTTTGTATCCAGTGTGTGCAAGGGAGAAGTCAGTTCTGTCCATGTTGTAAACCTGACCCCTGTCTAGTTCCATATTTTTAAACTGCATGTTTTTGTCTCTGTGTCTTTTGTGTTCCTTAATGACATGGTTCTCAGCCAAGAGGAAATCATATTTCTAAAGAGCACTCGGACTGAAATTTGATTTATTGCCAGGATCTTTGAAATCCATTTTGGATTGCAGTTAGATATACAAAGATAATTAGGATAATTCATATCACATTTTATATTAAATTTATGTTAATTAATTGTAAAATAAATTTTAGGGGTTTGAGAATGACATCAAAGACTTCAATGGAAGCAAATTGAGTGAGATTCAGAAACAGTCAAATGCTCTACTGAAAGAATGTAGTGAACCTGATAAGAAGAGGCTACAAAATATCATCCAAGGTATGAAATAAGTGAGCAGACAAATTATAATTAGTGGAATATAGTTATGGTTGCTTGGAGAGTAATGTATTTAAATTAAATTGACTCACTTTGCCACAGTGATTCTAGTGTTCATAAGTTTAAAATATTTTAGAGCATAATACTGAGGAAAATACAGGACTAAAGAGAGAGAAAATAAGTGGGGAATGGGGAGAATTAAGTAATGATTAAAGTCTTCTCTTTGTGTGTAAAAGTTTGTTAATCAATGTTATATTGAGCTGAATAGGCTCATATGAAGTGCATACAAAATTTTATTGGAGAAATAAATCTTTTGAAAACAGCTACTTTGAAGACTGCACTGGAGATGGGATGAAAATACTTAAATGAAGATTAGGAAATAGATTATAGTGATTGAAATGGCTCCAAACATGAAGAGACCCAGAATGAGGTGTAGGGATCAAGGTGTTACATGGATGGAATGGGTCTGAAGACTCCAACTCATGAAGTCGAAAAAAGAATAATTGACTCTGAATGTGGTTTATTGAGGTTTAAATTTTAGCATAATCACATATTCAAGTCCTAAAGAGAGTCATTTTTCATTTAGTGTTTACTGTTGAATTATACTGTAATAAAACATCTGTATTAATTTTTCTGCTTTATTACATTTGCTCTTCGTCCAGCTGCAATTGATGAGTATGAAGCTCTGAAGAAACTTGCCGACAATAAATTGGCTTCTTTAATTGACTTACTGCAAGGGCGCAAGCAATTTGAAGCAGACATAGACAGATGTCAACAGTGGCTGAATGAAGCAGAGGTTGCTACTTCGGCTGAAATTCGAGCACCAAATGTCGGATTACTTGAGGAACAGCTTTCCAAGGTAAGTGCAAGTTTAATTTGTTTACAGATGTTCATGATTACCTTCATCATGTGGTAATAGGGTATTTAAGCTCCTGTACTACAGGGCTGCTGGCTGAACTTTAACCTGGAGTTAACAAGACCAGCTTGACCTCAACCAAAGCACCACTAACTTCTGTGATCCTAAAAATGAATGTGTTTATGGTGAGAAGACAAGAAACTAGCCCACAACTCTGGCTCACTGACCTTTTTCAGGCAATCTTAACCCTTTGCCAATTTAAATATTTCTTCTTTGCATTGAAATGCACTTCTTTAAGTAGGACACTTGGGATTATTGAATTGTATGAAGAAACTAGCTGAGTTAAATATACAGGTTTAATAGAAGAGAAAGTAAGCTGTGTTTAATGGAATGTGGCTTGAGAAGGCCTGGTTTAAAATGTTACTCGTGTAGAAAATTTTTGGTTACTTAAAAGCAAATAAGGGAAACTGAAATATTGTTTTAAGGACTAAACATTTTTTATGGATCTAACTCCATTACTTTAAATAAAGAACTTATGCTGCCTGCTTTACTTTAAAACACTTTCATCTCTATGGAGATACTAGCAGTAATTATGAATTAATATTGTTTTCAACTTGATGATCGTGTGCATAATATTGTAGTACAGATTCCCTTAAAATGAAAGTTTCCAGATTTAAGCTCAAAATTCTTGACTTTCTCCATGTTTTTAACTTATAAGAAATATGTAAATATGTTCATGATTTGTGTCTGAAGTGAATAACCAGGCAGTCTCTAGATACAATCGTTTGTTAATTTGTGAATGTAATTTTATCTTTCCATTGCTTAGTCATTCCAAAGAATCAATCCAAATCTAAGGCCCTGTGCAAGATTTTGTAACATGGTAGTTTTTTTGTGGTGACTTGTTAACCCCTAGCTGAAGGATATAACCTTGTCTGCTACCTGTGATTGACTGTTAAAAATATTTGCAGCTACCATCCATATTGGAAACTACTTCCTCCATCCACAACCACAGTACATGCTGTTCCATAATACAGTTACAAAGGACCTATTTTTAAATTTTTAACTGTTTCTAATTTTATTCCAAATTATTTCTTATGATTGGTTGTTGTTTCAGTATGATAAACTGAACGATGAAGCCGGTAAGATAGGGGATCAGATTGAGTTGATTATTCAGCAAGGTAAGGCCATCCTGCCAACAGTGAGTGCGGCAGATAAGATGACTCTATCCGAACAGCTTAATGGAATGAAAGATAAACATGGTCGCATCTCAACCGTCATCCGTGACCGATCTGACGGTCTCAAAGGTCAGATCGAAAACTGCAAAGAAGCTGCTGCTAAGGTTGAAGAGTGTGTCAATTTCATGAGTGACATTCAGAAAGAGTTGAAAGAACTAAACCGGCCTGTCGGTAGCAAGGTGGAAGATGTGCAGGGAATGCTTGCATCATATGAGGTGTGTAAAACATTTATTTTTTCTTGTTAATAGCGATAGACTGGGTGTTGAGGAGGATATTTGGGCCTAAGAGGGAAGACGATGGGGCGTGGAGAAAACTGCATAATGATGAGCTTAAAAATCTGTACTACTACCCCAGTATTGTCAGGGTGATTAAGTCGAGAAGAATGAAATGGGCTGGGCATGTAGCGCACATGGATGGGACAAGAGGTGTGCACTGGGTATTGGTCGGGAAGCCTGAGGGGAAGAGACTGCTGGGGAGACCTAGACGTAGATGGGAGGATAATCTCAGGCGGGATCTATGGGGGATAGGAGTTGAAGGAGACTGGATTTTGTTGGCCCAGAACATGGTCCATTGGAGGGCTTTGGTTAATTCAGTGATGAACCTTTGGGTTCAGTAAGCCATCTAGTTAGTTAGTTAGTTAGTTAGTTAGTTAATAGCGATAGAGCTGCACGACTAAAGGAATTTGAATTTATGGCTTCCTTTATATATGGAGTGTTTTTTAGTTTATGTATTGTTTTGTATATTGTTCTTTAAATTAGCTATCTGCAAAAGAGAAATGTAGTGTATTATCATAAGGTATCAGGTTTAGTCATTTTATATGTGATTGTTCACTGTTAAATAAAATATTAATTAAATATTAATGTTTGCAGAAAATTCTGGCTGATTTAAAAACAAATAAAGTGAAGCTTGGAGATCTGCAAATGGGAAATACGGGCGAACTTCAAGGAATCAACCAGCAACAGGACGATCTAATTCAAGCTATAGAATCACAAATTGCTAAGTTGCGTCAGTTACTGCTGCTACGTGAACAGTTCATTGCTCTCATCACTGAGATCATGACTTTCATTACTAAATATACGGAAGTGGTGCGTGACATCGAGAAAGGAGGACACACCGTTCAAGAGAAAATAAAGAAATATGATGACGTATGTATTTTTGCATATGTTTACTAGATAGAAATTTGCTGTAGCTCAGAGAGTTAACCCTTACACTGTGGATTATATTTTAGTGCTTAAAAAAATAATTTTATGGTAAAAATCTGGACTCATTAAGAGGGTTTGATTGTTGTGTATGTATATAAATAAAAATCACAAAAATGAGCAACACATCCATCAAATACTAAATTTTATAACTGCGTAACACCTTTTTGTAATTTTATAAGTGCTTAAAATTGTGAAATATCATAAGTGTGAAAATAATTCCCAAAAATTGGAAACTTTCAACAGCATATCTCAGTTCTATCCATTGGTTTTAGGTGATTGTAAAAATCCAGGAATGTGAGGCCATGTTGGCATCTGCAACTGATAAAGGGCAGCAGATAGCCGCTGAAGGTTCGGCTGTAGACCGTAACAACGTGACCGAGCAGTTGCAGTCACTGAAGCAACAGCTGCAAGCCCTAAGGAGGGCAGTAGAGAAACAACGAGAACAGCACGAAATGGCTGCTGCAGAACACAAGAAGCTGGCTGTTGAGTTAGAAGCCGTACTAGACTGGCTTCATGCCAACGAGGCCACAGTCAGATCAAGACCATTGTTAGAAAGAGATCCCGCTAGTGTTCAGGAACAAATTCACAAACATAAAGTAAGTTACTTGTAAAAATTTTTTGTGGCCTAATATACCAGGCTGTGTCCAGAAGAATGCCAAATGAAGTTTTCCCTATTTTTGCTTTAAATTATTTCATAATGTGAAAATTAATAATTATATTTATGATTGATAACAATACTGTGTTCTTATATGATAGCTGGGACTTGCTACGTTATGTGGGCTCGGTCAGGGATCTTTAAATCACGGTACTACCTTAGCTTTATTTTGCGTAACTGACATATAGATTTAAATACAATTATGATTTGGTTGTTTTAATTAGGCATTGGCAGAGAATGTGAACAGTTACTTGGATCGAGTGCGTGCCGTGCAAGAATCTATTCGACATGAGGAAGGAATGCCTGGTTCCTTAATGGAGCAAATGAGTGAAGCAAATTCCTTACTTTCAACTCTCCCGCAAGAATTAGAAGAACGTGGTAAATATCTGGAGACAAATCGGCAGCTGCGACTCGAGTACGCTGCTCTTAAGGAAAATGTCTACGCGTGGGTCAAAGAAGCCGATTCCAAACTGCAATGTGGGAAGCATGGAGTGGACTTTGAGAGTGTAATCAGAGATTTAGAACAGCATAAAGTGAGTACACAAAAAATAATATAGGTTATGTTTATTTCCTTGTCCCAGTTATTAAAAGTTACTCATGGGTGTTCTCAGTTTTCACAACATGAACATTAAAACAATTGATGTTGACGGTACTGAAAGTGTTTGTTCTTTATAGATATTTTTCAGCAGTGAAGCATCTATCCGAGAACTAGTGTCACAGCAAATTCAACAGGCGGCAGATCGTATTTGGCCATCATTAACAGGTTCAGAGCAAGAAGAGTTGAGCCGCGAACAGCAGCAACATACGCAGCTTCTAAAGAACACGCTCAACTCGGCTCGATCTCGCCAAGCTCAGCTTGAGCAAAATGTAGAAATCTGGCGAGACTACTGCCAAACTTTAGATAAAGTCAGATCCGTACTTGCTCGTACTCAGTTCTCAGATGAACCTGTCACGTCACTTGCTGGACTACATTTCAATATTCAGAAGATAACGCACGCACTCAACGATATCCATGTAAGCCATTTCTCTTTATTTTATAAATAAAAGTCTGTCATGTCTGAAGCACAGTAATGTTGAAGTTTTTTGTCTTATATTTATGATATTTCTTGTAGATCTTTCCATTTCTTTCAGTGCTTCTATTTTTAAATTTTATATGTGTCTCTGATTACTTGTAACCATAAAGATGACTTGTTAGTCATTTGATTCATTTCCTTCCTTTCAGAATCAACAGTCCGAGATCGACTTGTTGAATGAACGGGGGCGTGAGATCACTCGACAGTCAGATCTTGCAAACCGTGAATATATAGAGAAACAATTAACGAACATTAACCAAGAGTGGAATGACTTAGTTAGTGGCCTCGAGAACAGACGAGACACACTGACAAAACTAGCTCAGCACTGGGAGGTGAGCTGATTATGCATATGCATTACATTTGGACGCTGTAAAGACATGAATGCTTCGCACCAGTGGTATTTATTAACGTATCTCTCTTGGCCGAATATTCTGTAATCTTTTTATGTTCTTTAGGAATTTGAATCCAAGTGGCAGTCGTTTGAGTCTCTCATTTCCGGTAACGAGGAGAAAGCTCGGCATATTGACACCGTCGTGAGATCAAAAGCTCAACTCAAGGAAGCAAAGCAAACTATCCAGGTAAATGCTGCTAGTTTCTAACTATAGGATAATACAATAGGGGAATTTAAAAAGTAAGCTTAATATTAGAATATTTTTGTTGTACGATTTGCAACACTGCGGAGGCCCAGTCATTCCGTAGCTCAGGGTTAATCAGTGGCGTGCTGTGAGTGTGGTTCAGTTGTCCAAGATGTAAAGATGATTGCTACACTGGAGATTTGCACCAGGGATGAGCAATGTTAGTGCTCGGTCTTGCAGACGCAGATCCGCTACCATCGACACTGAATACCGCATATCACGGAACAAAATTTTGTTTTTAATTTGCAGTTGTCTGACAAAAATAAAATTTAAAAATATAAGAACCAATGGAAACATGGTCCAAACATTTGGATTTAGAGGTCTAAATTACTGAATTTCATCTCAAACCATATAAATTTACTGATCATTTTAAGTTTTCATGAAAAATGATATTACAATATTGATATGTGATTTTATGTTACTTTGGTAAAAGTGTTTGTAATGTGGATTCACTTGCACTGTACAGGAACTCTTGTCGGAAGTGGAAGGCCAGAGATCTCTTCAAGCAGAGGTGCTGTTTTTGTCAGGGACCGTACTCACCTATCTCACAGTTTTTTCCGAACCTTCCGCTCAGATGCTGAAGGGAAAATTAGATCAACTGACTGATACATACAAAAAGTGAGTACAAAAGTTTGAATTTTTTTAGTGCTAAATGAAAACTTGAAGTAGCGTTTTATTTACTGTATTATTCCAGGATTTTTCCACTGGTGTTTAATTCGGGGGGGGGGTTCA